GTAGACACTCTGCATGGAGAATGCTAGTATATGGTTAAGGGTAGACACTCTGCATGGAGAATGCTAGTATATGGTTAAGGGTAGACACTCTGCATGGAGAATGCTAGTATATGGTTAAGGGTAGACACTCTGCATGGAGAATGCTAGTATATGATTAAGAGTAGACACTCTGCATGGAGAATGCTAGATTATAGTTAAGGGTAGACACTCTGCATGGAGAATGCTAGTATATGGTTAAGGGTAGACACTCTGCATGGAGAATGCTAGTATATGGTTAAGGGTAGACACTCTGCATGGAGAATGCTAGTATATGGTTAAGGGTAGACATCTTGACAAGGGCTACTAGGCTGTGACTACCAATTGGTGGAACAATAGATTCAAGATGAGGGCTGGTAATCTACAGATGATCCACTAGACCCTTGGTTCTCAACCTGTGGGTCGTGACCCAAAAGTGGGTTGCCACCCTGTGTTCAGTGTCTCGCCGCATGCCTTCCACTTTTCTAGGTGAGAGGCTTCCCCTAATGCAGCATTGTCCATTCTCACACCGAGCAGCCATTCAAAATATGCTGCCCGGGGCCGAGTGTCAGCTTGAGATGGGGGGCATGGCCACGAGGGAGCTCCATCCATACGTGCATTGCTTACAGCTCCTTCGCATGTCCTGTAGAGGTGCCTGGACCGGAGTGAAGTCACATTCTGGCTCCCGGCACCTCTACAGGTGCGCATGGGAGCTGTACAAAGAATGCACATATGGATGGAGCTCCGTCACAGCACAGCAGCCCGCACTGCAGTGCATTCCATTGCAGTGCAACTTGGGTTGCGACTTAATGACCGAGGACAAATGTGGGTCCTGAGGTTACACAGGTTGAGAACCGCTGCACTAGATGATGGGTAAAGGCTGGTAGAGTATATCGGAAACACCAAGCTGGAGGGACTGGCAGACCATGTACCCATCTCTGCACATTTTCTTTTTCACTTTTGAGCAACCACACGAATGCATCATTCATTTTCAGTGACAAATGTTACACAAATTCTGCATCCTAAGCCATACCAAGTGCTGTCTTTGCAGCTCTTTCTAGAACATAAACATCAATTCTAACAGCAAATCTGCCTGGAAACGTCTGACTATAAAACATGTCTTTTGTCTACTTTGCGAGACTTCCAGGGTGACATTGTCGGAGTTAAAGGATTAGTGCGGTGAAGAGCATTTACTGAAATGGCAATGAGCATGCTGACATCCTACTGATTTCTCCCAATGTGTGTCTGCTTGCAAAATGGTAGACAAATGTAGTCACAGGAAATGAGGGTCACACAAGCGGGAATGCCAGATGCTGCCAACAGAACTGCATGGAACGAGAAGTCTCCGCCAGGCACTGGAAGGAAGACCTCAGGAGTCTCATGGGCTGGTCGGTAAAAATGCTTTTGCTAAATGAATGTGAGGAAGCTTAAAAAACTGTTGGCTTTCGCCTACCGTACCAAGATCAGTCTTAAGATCTGTTGGCAGACTTAACTTTCTTGATCCTTTAACTGAAACAACAGAAAAAGGAGAAAGGTCATTATTAAATGCCAAGGAAAATCCCAGAACCAAAAAAAAAAAAAGACATTCTGTTGGGGAAAAAAAAAGAGCCTGCAGGACACACAGAGGGGGAAACAAGACCACCCATATCACATCAACACAATTGGTTTCCATCAGGCAAAAGCATTAGAAGGTCATGCCGTCTCTACTGGCACACTGTCTATCGGCAACTTGAGTACTTGGCTTTTATATCCACGGGGCTGTAGATACAACTTCATGTTACATTTACTTGAGATCTACAAGAAACGCCTCCTTGATGCACCTCTGACCTTGGGTTATGGATGGCTGGAAGCCGCGTTCTATAAAAAGAAGCCTCTAAATGGTTGCTATAGCCTGAGATGCTGCATAGAGGTCAAGCCACCTTAAAGCTGCCCACGATGCGGCTTGATTTCAGAAAGCGAGCGGCTTCTTTCTGACTGCGCAATGGCAGCGAGCGGAGGAATATCGTGCCGTAAATGCTAATGCGGAACCTGAGTCTTCCACAGCAGGAAAGATTTTTTGTTTTTCAATGCGCTGTGGAGAAAAGCATGTTAGAGACTTTACTTTCCAATCCATCTACAAAAGGGTTTAACTCACCATTCAGATTATACAACATAGAATAAATAATGACGGGTTAAATGTATTTACCACTATAGCAGATGATGGGTAAAACATGAAGATTGAAACTGGACTGCCCTTAAAGGGACACTCGATCCAAAAGCGATATTTCATAACTTCTGATGGTGGTTTTCAGACATGTGGCAGGCACTGAAGGGAGCCTGGAGCAGAAGTCTTTCAGGTCTTCTGCCATATCTCTACTTGCTCAAAGCAGCAAGGTCAGTTAACAGAACTTTATGCTGACAACGGAGTATAAGCTTACTTTACATCGTATATAGTAAGGGGCGAGGGGAATTTTCTGGCCATCCCATATAGCAAGAACACAGAGGTGATTTGGGACACTGTCTCTGACTGCAAGGCTCCAACCAGCAGTTCTAGATGGTAGTATCCTGGACTGGAGGTGTATACTGTTCAGTAGCGATGCACCGATTCCGATACTAGTATCAATATCGGTGCCGATACTGAGTATTTGGGCGAGTACTCGCCAAAATGCTCCGATACCTAGCACGAGTACTTCCTGTATCAGGAAGCCGAGCAGCGCGTCATTACGCGCTGCCCGGTTTCCTGATTGGCCGGCTCCATGCTCTCTCGTCACTTGTGACGAAAGAGCACGGAGCCGACTTCCCGGCCAATCAGGAAGCCGGGCAGCGTGTAATGATGCGCTGCCCGGCTTCCTGATTGGTCGGCAAGTTGGCCAATCAGGAAGCCGGGCACCGTGTAATGAAGCAGCGCCCGGCACTCTGATTGACCGGGAAGCCGGCTGCATGCTCCCTCGTCATTTCATGACGAGGGAGCAAGGAGCCGGCCTCCCGGCCAATCAGGAAGCAGCGTCATTACACGGCGCCCGGTTTCCATGATTGGCAAGCAAGCCGGCTCCGTGCTTTCTTGTTAATCGGGGTTAATCACATAGTGACGAGAAGCATGGGACGGCTTTCTTGTTAAATCGGGAAGGCGGGTGGCGTGTCTTTACACACTGCCCGGTTTCCTGGCTAATCAGGAAGCCAGGTGGCTTTCTGAATGGGACTTCCGGTACTCTGTAATTGGTATTTGGTATCGAAAAAAATAATATCGGTGCTCATACTCGGTACCAAAATACCGGTATCGGTGCATCCCTACTGTTCAGTGTTGTAATTATGCAACACCAAGATACATCTTTATCCACCACATCAGCAGCGGTCCCATCAGTTGGACATCTCGGCAGACGTGTGATAAACAGTAAATTCATATTTGGTTAATGGCAGGAAGTGAACTCTGGCAGCGGTGCCCAAAATGCAGGCAGGCAAAAGACTTGTCACCAGTATTGTGTCACGGCCGCCGCCGTCACCAGCCAGCGAGGAGGGAGGATGCGGCAGCCAGCTGCTCCTTCGTTGGGCCGATTGCGTTCCAGGGTGGAGCGCACGCTCGTCACTTCCGGGTTTCGGGGCCACGTGCGTTCCACCGTGGAACGCGGAAGTGCACCAATGCGTGCCTCGGCTCCTCCTTCACTTCTCAGCCCTATTTAAACGCCCAGACGAGACAGCATGGCGTTCCAATATTGAGTCAGAACGCCTGCTGTCTCCTGGGACCCTCCAAACTACAGACTGTGCCTCCAGCTTATCAAAACTACCCGGACACCACCAAGGACCCCCAGCTACTCCCGTTCCGGCTTATGCTCCAAAGCGCAAGTACTCTTAGTGCACTTGCACACCATAACCATTCAAACTGTCTCTGAGTATACTGCAAGCTTAACTACAATACTGGGCGACTGTTCATTGCTACTGTTTTAGATAACCTTCTAGATCCTGCTAAATCATTGACCATTGAAGTTATCCACTGCTCATCCAATAGCACACTTAACTTTAACCCTTGCCACTCCATTACTAAACCTGAGGCTGTGATGCAAGGTACCCTAACTCTCAGTTCACATAGAGAGTGAAACCAGGGTACCAGACCTGAGAAGCCTCCGCAGCTGTGATCCACGTGACCATCATCCATACAGGCGTGACATATTGTCTGAGGTTTTCCAGCAGCTGTTTCTTCCCCATTACTGACTTAGCATGTCTTTATTCTGGGCTGTGTCTATACACCGAGTGGCCAGATTATTATGACCCCCCACCCCCCCATCAGTACTTTGTTGGGCCGCCTCGTGACTCCACGAGATGATGAAAGGTGATGCGAGGAATCCGACACGGCACTGTTGCCCTTCTGTTGTCTTGTACCAGTCTTGCCCCTCCCCCGTTCTGCCCTAACATTGACTAGTCGCTGACGGCCACAATTCGCACGTTCAGACCCAGATTTTCGGCTGACAGTCCGGTCTTTAAACACTTTAACAATGAGCCGCTCTTGAACATGTAACGAATTCTGCTGTTTTGCTGATACTCGCTCCATGGCTCCGAGCGCCAACAATCATCCCGCGTTCCAAGGCTGTTACATCGCGTTGTTTCCCCGAATCTTCCCAATCACTTCTACTGTCGTGGTAACCAACCCGCTTCCCTATTTATAATGGTCCGGCCCTCTAGCAACTTCAGCGCCAAATTATAGCTAATTTGCCTACAAACGTCAGGTGGTCATAATAATCCGGCCACTCGGTGTATATAATAATCCGGCCACTCGGTGTATATAATAATCCGGCCACTCGGTGTATATATGAAGGCAGCCATCTTGGTAGGGGCAGGGCTTTGCTTTCTCATGTCAGAGCCCCTATGAAGGGGAACAGTGAGCAGCACAGTAGTGACATCACCAAATCTCACTTCAGCTCTCCTGAGACTAGCAATCACCGGGCGGCTGTACCTTGCATCTCACACTGGATATACAGTATACTGCATGCACAGGAGTGCCTAGGCACACTCATATCAGGAAGTCCATTGCCATTTTTCAGGAAGAATTCAAGAGATACAACTGTATAAGTTGTGATGACATCAGGCCCGTCTTTAACGCAGGGCAAAAGGTGCAGTTGCCCAGGGCCCAGTTATTGTTGTGGGGCCTAAAGCAGCCGCCCCTTGAGCCTGCACTGCTCGCTCCTTACCTGGAGATGCGGGATGTCAGTGTCCCGTCCCTTCTCCCCCCTCACCCTCCTGGTTTCCCTTATCTCTCCAGGGATAAGACAAGACAGCAGAGATCAGAAGATCGGGACTTTTTTTTATCAAAGCACAGGGATCACAGCCTATCATGCATGCCTAGACCAGCATGGCAGGTAGAGGGCGTGGCTTAGTGGGTAGGGGTGGGGGGCCCAAGAAAATGTTTGCCCAGGGTCCAATCAATTTTAAAGACGGCCCTGGATGACATGGTCATCGGTTTATGGGTTGTGTGTGTGTATTGGTGTTGGGTTATGTGTAAGTGTGTTATACTGGGTAACCTGTTCATCAAAAGACTGTCAGAGTCGCCCCTCGTTAGCTCCCTTTGTACTCTGAAGGAGCTCAGGACAATGACATTCTCCTGCGTCTGGCCAGACTCCTGCTATGGCTGCCTGGGGCTCTTTAGCAGCTGGACCTCTGCAGGGTTGTGCAGACAGAATGTCTAGGGAGGGGGCCGTGGATGCGATGGGATTATAATCTGATCTGATCACTTGCTGTATAAAAGGTTGCACAGTTTCTCAATAAATCAGAGTTGGTGTTACCCTACACTCGAGTCTCGGCTAGTGACCGGGGAAACTGGGAGCTAGAGATCAGCGGGTTGCAATATCTCCGGAGCAGGGAAGAATACAGCGGCGGACATGCTCATCCCGAGTACTGGGGTCCGTCACATAAGTATTCCTTTAAACATCATGGAATCCTTTTCAACACAACCACTGATTCTGCTTGGAGCCTCCCCGTACATTGAGTTACATACAGTGGCGTAACAATAGCCATAGCGACCCAGGTGGCTGCTATGGGGCCCGAGCCCAGGGGGGCCTGGCCAGGACACCCCCCTGATGCCGTGCGGGCCGCCTAGGTCGCTATGGGTTCGAACGCACCGCTGTTCAGATCACCGTGATCTGTGCAGCGCTGCGTTCTTCTCCATTGCCGCTCCTGAGTCAATGAGAGTCAGCAGTGGCAGTGGAGGAGGCTGGACGTGGCGGGGAGGAAGATGCTGGGCCCGGGAGGTCAGCATCAGAGGAGGCGGGGCCGGTGACGGAGGAGGCAGGCCCGGCGACGGAGGAGGGAAGACGGAGGAAGAAGATGCGGACAGGTAAGGAGTGTGACCAGCCCACTTGAGGGTGACCCTGCAGAGCCCACCATATAGAGTCTATGGAGGGCTCTGCAGGGTCACCCTCAGGTGAGCTATGTGGTCTCTTCAAGGGGTGTAACTAGAAATCACAGTGCCCCATACAAAATTATGCTATGGGGCCCTGTGATTTCTAGTTACGCACCCTGGTTACATAGTTAGTCAGGTTGAAAAAAGACACAAGTCCATCGAGTTCAAACTGAAGAGTTGCCATAAACCTTAAAATGATGGCT